CATTCCTTTTTGTCTCCTGGTGGTGGTGGGCCCTGAACTGGGCAGAGACTGGAGCCAGCAGAGGCCTCGGCTGCTGAGGGGACAGAGAACAGGTCAGAGAGGGGAAGTATGAAGTCATAACTCAGGGCCCAAAAGGTAGAATCTCTTTAGAGTCCAAGGAGCCACTGTGCTGAAGAAGGAGCCAGATGCGACCCCCTGAGGCCAGAAGTAGCTGCGAGGGGATGTCTCAGGAAGGAAGTCTCAGGTCTGGACCTGAGGCAGGAGTGGGATGATCCCTGGTGCCAGACAGCTGTGGGGGCCAGAGCGGCTCCCAGAAGCTGAGGTGGGCTGGAGCACCTTTCCTTCCACCCTGCTGGGTACCACTGGGTCTTTGGAACAGCGGGCGCCCACTGTCGTGTGTTCAGGCTGGCCCTGCCTCCTTCAGGAGCTGATGACCCGCCTCGGATGGGCTAGGTCTCTGGTGAACAGTGTTTAATGTCCCTTTAGGTAACACTCCGTGAGTCCAAAGAAGCCACCATCAGGAACACGTCAGGGTTTCCTCTCTGCCATCAGTTGGGGTCAAGTGAGAATGAGATGCACACAAATGCGGACAATCCCTGTGAGCCTGGAGGAGGAGCAGCACCTGGCCTTGGCTCTGGCCTCGGGAACACCAACAGCAGGGCTGAGGGTGGGCATTTCCCGTTGGAGCATGGTGGGTTACAGCTGAAGGTGAGAGCTGGGAAGGCGGGCTGGCCCCCAGAGAGTGGTCGAAGCACCAGGGGTTGCAGGGGCGGGGTGGGACTCGCTCTCTGGTCCCCTCATAAGCCATTCTTTGTTCCCTTACAGGGCCTAGACCCTTAGATATGTGAGCCCAGATGCACTGGCCTCATTTCTTTCTTACTAACTCCATGCGGCTAGCTGGTACCAAGTACCAAGCAGCCATGAGGGGCCTTTTAGGACCTGCCGTGTCATCTCACTAGGAAAGGCACAAAACTCCAAGTCTGTTTCTTCACCTGTCAAGCGAAGTGGGATTTTCTTCCCTGCCAGCTTCACAGGGTGGTGTGGGTCAAAAGAGGCTGGGACAGGACAGGTTTGTAAACTGTTCTGTCCTCCTATGGTATTACTGTGACCATCAGTCAGCCCGGGGTCCTTGTCCAGGAGCAGGTATGCTCCTTGGGAGGGCGCTCCCATGAGTGGATGGGGCCAGCATCCCCTCCTGGAGATGACGCTTCAGTATACGTCTTTTTTGCCTTCTGGTCCCAGACCTTCCGATAAAGTTTGCCTTGTACTTATCGTGGGCTGTCCCCACTGCCCACCAGCCAAGGGAAGGGGAGAAGGGAGAGCCAGCGCTTTGACCCTTTTTCGCTTACCCTCCCCGTCCCAAGGCCAACTGGACTTCTCTCCAACATTTCTTTTGAGGTCTCCAACCCAGCCTGGCAACAACAGCGTGAGATCTGGGATGAGAAAGGCACCCTGAGAGCAGGGCCAGGACCTCCTCTGACTTCAGCCTTCCGAGTCCACCTGCTGCCTGGGACCCATCTGGTTCCTGTCCTGAGGGCCACTGCGGGGGAAATGCTGCTGGGGCTGAAGCGAGGGGCCTCAGTCAGGCTAAGTAAGGCTGCTTTTCACTGGCCTTCGCCTCCACCCGCTGACTCGGGGGTGACACTCTGATACTCTCAGCAGAGTGGGCCTCTTGGGACCCAGGATTCAGGGCCTGGCCTTTCCCCCAAGGCTGCCAGACAGGGTCCATGCGTCTCAGGAAAAGGCTGTTTACCTCCCAGTCAGTTAGCAAATATCTTGAGAATCACACCAACCTGCCAAGCTGTCAGTAGAGGAAGGCGCCAGAGAGAATGTGGCCCATGTCTCTTGAGCAGACCTAGCTCCAGATGCCAGTACAGGCCGGAGGCCACAAGAGTTCTGTTTACCAGATGCTCCCAGCCCATCATGGCTCCACAGTTTCACATTGATGAGATAGGTTGCTTTCTTGGGCCACAAACCCAGATTCCTTCTAATAATCCCAATAAACAACCCACTCTAACAAATTCTCACCCCTTGATTAGCTACAGCTGTCTGGCAGACATGTCCTCAGAGTGACTCACTCCAAGGCTGGTCAGTCAGTGTCTTTGTAAGCGTTTTGCCAGCTGTGCATCAGCACTGAGTGTTGGGAGTAGGCCTGAGGGAGGCAGGGAGGCAGGACAGACGCACGCTTTACCTCCCGGTGGGTCTGAGGGCAGGGACTGTGCCAGCCCAGCACTGTGCCCTCACAGACATTTGCAGAAGTGCACCAGGTTAAGAAGACTACAGGCATAACAGGATTCAGCTGTCGCCCTGCAGAAACAGCCTAGTCGGGAACATAAGGTGGACACGAGGGGAAGAGAAACCTAATTCACCAGAAAATCTGAGGTCACTGCCAAAGAAGTGGGGCTGGATGGAGGAGGGGGCAGGGCGCGGGGGTGGACAGAGGCCCCCTGAGGGAGGTGCAGCCTGAGCTAAGCCCAGATGATCGGTGGGTGGATCCTGGACATGAGGAAGATGAGGAAAAAAGACAGAGGCAGGAAACCTCTCAGGAAGCTTGAGTGATGAGAAAGCTCAGGGAAGCCGAGAAGGCAGCTGTGGAACGGGAGGTCAGGCCAGACAGGCTAGGGCCGCAGAGGCAGACCCTGGCCCTCTCTGCCCCTGAGACTCCTCTGCTCTTTGCGAATGTGCTCAGACAACGCCCTTTCCCAGTGTTGGGCCCGAGTCTTCCCCTTCCTGACTCTCCCATTCCCAAGGAGGGCAGCCCAGACTGCTGTCCCAGAGAGCGGCTTTAGCGTTTTCCCACTGCCCTGCGGCTCTGGGCCTTGGAGCACGGTCCTCTTCTGCTCTGTCTCCCGTAGCTCTGGGCTGAAAGGGCCTGGATATGTCTCTCTCCTCCACTTTGGAGGGTCAGCTGCTCTGCTCTCTCTTCCTGCCTAGCTAAGCCTGCGGGCTGTGAGGCTGGGGATCCATACCTCTCTGCCTTGCCCACTGCCAAACCCTGCGCAGCGCCTTGCTCACACCTGGCCGCCCCACACCTGTCCCTCCACATGGCTCCCTCATGCCCCCTTCCCCTCTTTGATCTCCTGGATCCCTGAGTCCAGGAGTTCTTGCCTGCCTCTCTCTAGCTAGCAAGAGGGACTTGGTCTGGCTCCTTTGACTCCCGGGACCCCACTGTCTACATCCGGGCCCTTCTCCAACCACCTCGCTTACTTTGGCCAGTTCGCAAGACACCCCGTGCCTCCCTTCCCACCTTGGCAGTTTGTCACGTCTGCATTGCCATCCATGGGCAGATGTCTGGTGACAGTGCCGTCCCTGACGCTCCCCAGAATGCACGCTTTCCTTCACTGCCCTTTTCTCTTCCTTCCTCTGTCCGTACCCTGAAACCATCGTGGAGTAAATTTTGATGTAAGTCCTCTGCTCTCGCATCCTGGTGTGTCAGGAAGCTCACTGCTACCATTTGGGACCCCTCTCTGGCCCCACCCTCACTCTTGACCTAGGATAAAAAGGGACTAGATTTGATTGGTGACTCTGTAAAAGTACTGGCTCTGTGAAAGCCAGTCCTTCCTCTTCTCCCGTGGGCCTGGCCTCTCCACAGAGACCACGTGCGTTCTGGTCCTCTTCGCTGCAGGTTTAAAAGAGCAAACACTGCCACCCAGTGCTGAGTCCCTGGGCGCCGAATGCTGTCTGATCCTGAGATTCGGTGTTAGTGACCCCACTTACCTGCAGCTCGGAGCCACATTTGCCGATGTCACTTTTTCAG